TACCACCCTGCAAACCCTGCCCCGCAGGTCTTGTACATGGAGTGGGCACAGCCATAAAGAGCGGGATGTGTTCCTCTAAGTCCCTTACCCAGCTTTCCTCCACTCAGATCCTACATGCAATCTTGTAGGGATGAGGTGGGGAGACCTCTGGAGCACAGGCCAGCAAAGCGGAGGAGAGTCTGGGGAATCTGACATAGAGCTTAGAGGGATATAGGGAAGAGAGGCCTCCTGGCTGGGCCCTCCAGGTCAGAGTCTAGGTGTGGGCTGGGCTGAGAGTGCAGCCCGAAGTCTGGGTATTTCCAGAAGAGTTGGGTCAACACAACCTGATACCAGCCACTCCCAGATTAAGGGCAGGCAGGAAGTGGAGAGTTGACACCTAAGCGGGAGGGAATGGGGCCGACAAGGACAAAGTAGGGAGTTCTGGGGGTATAAACCTCTTTACCTCAATATATTTTTCTTTTTTAAAACCTTTTAAAGATTGAGGTAATGGTTGGTCTGAAGATAATGTGTTATCTCAACAGATTGCTCACAGTCAGTTACAGATCAAACTCCCTGTTCTGTTCTTATCCCCCTTCTCACTACTGCACTTGACTAATCTGAAAAAAATAAATAAGTAAGGTAAAATACACCATGAAAGGCCAGGCGCGGTGGCCCACGCCTGTAATCCCAGCACTTTGGGAGACTGAGGCAGGTGGATCACGAGATCAGGAGTTTGAGACCTGCCTGGCCAACGTGGTGAAAGCCCGTTTCTACTAAAAATACAAAAAAAAAAAAAAAAAAAAAAATTAGCTGGGCGTGGTGGCAGGCGCCTGTAATCCCAGCTACATGGGAGGCTGAGACAGGAGAATCGTTTGAACCCGGGAGGCGGAGATTGCAGTGAGCTGAGATTGCACCATTGCACTCCAGCGTGGGCGACAGGGGGAGACTCTGTCTCACACACACACAAATATATGTGTGTGTGTGTGTATATATATATACCATGAAGTTCACAAAGTGCACTAAGTTTAAGTGTTCAGCTCAATGATTTGAGTTACATATTCACTACTTATGTGTTCATAATATGTACATATGTATACAATACTTATGTAATCACAACTACCACTGGTAATTCAACAAACTTTTATTGAGTGCCTCCTGTGTGTCTAGCACTATTTTACCCTTTTGAAAGAAAATTGAGGCTAGAACCTGTTTTCCAGTGGCTGTGATAGGGTTGGTATTATAAATTATAGTAATTCCTTGACAGAACTATACCATCACCTGGTATGAGAGATCAACATGGTGTGATCTACTACTCACAGTGGCCATCACCTTGGACTCCAGAATGGGAAGAGTTGTCTACCATGTCTGAATATACTAACTCACAGAACTCCAGGGGACATAACTGGATCCAGTAAATACAGTCAGGGCAGCCATACTCCTAGCACAGAGTGAGGTGCTGAGCAGGTGAGAGAGCGTTTTGGGGAATTGATCCTGCTCTCTGGCCTGGTGCTACATGTCTGGAAGCTGGGCAATGAGTGATGTCTTTGACAAACCAAAGTGAAATGGAGCCTGTTGCATGTGTATGAATTCACTAGGCTTTCTGACACGCCAGTGTTTTTTCTCAGCTTTGTGGTCAGCCTGGCCTTGCCTCACCCAGACCCCATCCTGCTCCAAGTCAGAGAAGTGGCCCTAGCAGGAAATTGAGTGAGTGAGCAGGATGTAACCCGTGATGAGGCAGCTCCCAGACCTGGCTGGTCCCTGAGTCAATGAGCTACTTCGGGCACTCAAAGGAAGCCCTTCCGCCCATTCACTACTTCCACTGCCTCTTCTGTCACCTCTAACATCCCTCCCTACCCAGGTGTGGGTCTTTGGAGGCAGGGAGCTGGTCTCCTTCTTCTCTAAGTCACAAAGGAATACGGGACTCTGGGGGCAAATGGCCTCAGCATGGAGGCAGAGGAAGCTGCTCCTTGCGGATGCCAGTGACTGCCCTGGCCAGAGGGCTACCAGTGATCTTGCTTTGGAGCCCCTAGGGCCAGGACTGGTGGCAGGGTAGGACAGAGGGGGCTGGGCCTGGCTGGGGAAGGCTGGCCTGGAAGAAGCTGAGCCATCGGCCCTGGGCCAGGGTGGAAAATATGTGTGTGAGCTCATTTGGAAGGTGGCTTCTGGCCAGTCAGGCCTGCCTCGCTTCCAGGCCCTGGCTGCCTAGCCCCTTGCAGGCGGCCTCTGGTCTCCCTACTTTCACAAGACTGAGCGAAGAGGGCAGAAACCCCCAAGGCTGGGGCTAGGTGTGCAGACTTGAGCTTTTAAAAGAAGTGTGTTCAGATTTGGGATGGTAGGTAGGAAACGGGTACAGGAACCGCAGGACGATGGAGCAGTCTTGGCTGGGGTTTCCTTGGGGCCTTTGGGAATGGGTACCACCGCTGAAGCCCTCCGCCCTCCCCCGATGCCCTCGAACACAAACATTCACCAATCCCACCCTTCCCTTAGCTGCTGCCATTGTCTCATTCCATCCCTTTGGCTTCTGAGTCTTGGTGCCACCTTCCTTCTCTCAAGAAGGGAGGCAATGGGCTGGCAAAGTGGGGTCCTTTTCCCTCTGCACTCCTACCCCCCATAATATTGCTGCACAATAAGCAAATACAGCTGGGCATGGTGGCTCACGCCTGTAATCCCAACACTTTGGGAGGCCGAGGTGGGCGGCCTGAGGTTGGGAGTTTGAGACCAGCCTGACCAACATGGAGAAACCCCGTCTCTACTAAAAATACAAAATTAGCTGGGTGTGGTGGCGCATGCCTGTAATCCCAGCTACTTGGGAGGCTGAGGCAGGAGAATCACTTGAACCTGGGAGGCACAGGTTGCAGTGAGCCGAGATTGCGCCATTGCACTCCAACCTGGGCAACAAGAGTGAAACTCCATCTCAAAACAACAACAACAACAACAACAAAAAACACAATAAGCAAATATATATGTGTTGACAGATCCCCAGAACACACACTGCCGTGAAGACGCCCAGCTACCCAGGGTCCATGCTGGGAGAGACACCAAGAGATTGCCGGGATCTGCCAGTATAGAAACATAAATAAGTAAATTGGAAAGATCTGGGTTTTAAATTTGGACTAACAACCTGTGACCTTGATCAAGTCATTTATCTTTCTGGGTCTCAGTTCCCTTATTTGTAAAACGGGGACAATATTAGTGCCTGTGTCATTGTGTGTTGTAAGGAGCTCAGCAAATGTTAGTTTCACCATTGCTGGAAGGGAAGGAGGGATACAGAGGGGAAAGAGACCACTGGAAAATCTGTCAGATAGTGGGGAGAAGGGGCCCTGGGGGAGGGACAGTGAAGGACCAGCAGAGCTAGCCAGATTGTACTTTGGGGTCTGGAGGGGTGTGGGGGTGTCTCTCTGCCCAGTCCTCCCTCCTCTAGAGGACCCAGCTCCTCTTAGATCTTCCCTTCCCTTCCCGCTGACCCAGAGCCTGGCTGGCAGCCCTGCAGTCATGGGCCCAGCTGGTGCCAGGAGCCCTGGAGAAAGGGAGGTGATGACAAGGGAGTCCGTGGCCCCCCTCCAAATGTGTGGGGTGCAGTCGTGGGCAGAGTGCTGCTCCTCTTCAGCCCTTGCCCCCAGTCCAGCGTCTCCTTAGCACCAACTTTCCTGGGTTCTGCCCAAACCTCCTTGAAGATTCCCCTTGGCTCCCTCCTGGCTGCTCCAACTCACATGTGCTGCTTTCGAATAAAGGAACTTGGAACCATAGAAACTGGGTCAGGCCCAACGGACAAATCGGGGTAGGGCCAGTGAAAGCAGAGTTTGCAGGTCTTTTGGAAGCCACAGGGCCCTCTGCTCTCCCCTCACCCCAGCCTGACCTGGAGGTTCACTCAGTGGGACCTTGTGATCACTAAGGCACCTCCCAGGGTCCCTGGGCAGCCTCACTGGGGTGGATCAGGCAGGCCCAGGCACGTCAGAAGCACGGGACCCTGCGTCTCCACCCTGAAATTCTCTCTGCTTGTTTTAATTTTTGTTTTTTGTTTTTTTTTAAACCAGTCAAATTTAGCAGTGGGGGGTTTTATAAGCCCATCTTCTACCTCTTCCCCCTTTGTCTCTGGTCCTCCATTCCCATCTCTCCCCCTTGGCTCCAGAGAGCATCTTGTGATTCCAGAATCAGGGCCAAACAATTTCCTCGTGATGGGGAAACCGCACTCCAGCGCGGGAGCCCTAGGCTCCCCCTCCTCTTCTCTCTGGCAGTCCCCCCTCCCCAGGCTCCTCCACTGGCTCCAGCTGTGTTTTGCAAAACTCCCACTGGATAACATCTGTAATTGCCTCCAGATGTGGACCACAAAAACACAAAGGGGCCATGAGCTCATCTTTGAGTTCCTTGCCACCCGCACAGACCCTACCACCCTCAGATGCCCCTGACTTCCCCTGCCACCTTGTCAAGGTCCCCATCCCCTCTGGTAAGGGTGGTTCGGAGGTGGTGTCCAATTCCACCGAGACACACAGACTCTGCCAAACAGTTGTTGGCAGGGGAGGTGCAGGAGGCCAGGCGTAGGGTCAGGGTTCCTGGCAGACAGGAAGGTGGGGTACCCCTTCTGCCAAAGCAATCACACTAACCAGCCCTGAATAGCAGCTGGATAGACTGACTGGCATGATGGGGCCAGGACTCTGCAAGGCAGGCGGTGGAGGGAGTCTGGGCTGGAGCCCAGGGTGGGCTGGGTGGAGGCAGGAAGGGAAGGGGGGTGAAAAAAAGGGGCTGCTCTCCTCCAGCTGAGCTGACTCAGCACTGGGCTGATTCCTCCCTCCAGGCTGGTTTCAGAGGAAGGGTGGGTGGATAGCCTGGGAACCCTGTCTGGGGCAGGAGTTTCTAAGGAAAGAGGAAGCAAAGCCTTGTTATTCTGCCCTTCCAACCTGACCATCCTGGTTCTTCCGGACAATTAGGATGAGATCTCTGTTTGGCCAGAGACAGGCTGCTCCTAATAGGCCCAGCAGCAACACCTATCTCTCTTTCTCCCTTGTTTCCTTCTGTCTCAGCAGCAGAGCCCCAGGCCTGGAAGAGACTTCTTAGGTCCTGAGGGCTGGGAAGGACATGCCAGTGAGCCCAAGGCTGAATATGATCATGGGACTCCCCCTGCCTCTGGAAGAGACGCATGAGGAAACGGAGGGTCTGCGGGTGGGTCACAGGACAGGGTAATGCAATTTAGGAAGATTTTCCAAGTGGCCTCAGCTTGACCACTTCCTCTTGTCTCTGAGCCTTGGGGCTCAAGGCAGCCTTTTAAGCCAGGTGGTGGGAGAGCAGCTGAGCTCTGTCAGTCACCCCACTGCCCCCTATGGGTATGCCCTGCTCCCCAACTCTGGCCCCTGAATCCCTTTAGTCCACTAAGAATAAACATACTACTTTATGAAAAATGCCAAAGCCCCACCTCATGGAAAACGCTGCTCATGACTCGTGCCCTTGCCTCATCCAGCTCCTTTCACCCACAGCCCATCACCCTCTACAGAGCTCAGCCACACAAGGAATGTGAAACACAATTTATTCTTTGTGGAAGGTTGAACAAGGTCAAAATTGTCCTTAGAGGGCACCGACCCAGCCCCGCCCTGCAGGTTCCTGGGGTCAGACGCCTCTGCCCCCCCCACCCCCACCCCTCCCCATGCCCCTTGTTAACAAAAAGAAACGATTTGAATGGAATTCATATATAATAATTATAATAAAAATATACATTAAACAAAACAAAAAAACGAACAAGACAGAAATCTAGCCGAACTGCCAGCACCGTTCACCCCATTTCCCCCACCCTGTGCCCCACCCCCCCTGACATCCCTCTCCTCTTGCTCCCTCCACTGGGTCTCACTCTCCCAAGTCCCCGGTACCATGGCCACCACCTTTGGTGGCCCAAGGAGACTTCAATGGGTGGGCTGGGTGGGTGGGGCTGTGAGAGGGCAGGCCACTGGTGAGACAGGCTTGAGGGGTGCTGGCACCAGGGAAGCGTGGGCCCAGCCTAAGCGAGCCCCAGCTCCTGCCCCTCACTGAGGTGGTGAGCAGGCCGGGACAGCGCGGCCAGCCAGGCCCTGTGGCCTCTCATGAAGCCCCTCATTCCTCGTTTGTGTGCCTTCTCTGCTCCTTTCTCTGGGCTGCCCCACCCTTCCCCTCCATGCTGCCTGGGCAGCAAGGACAGGGACCAGAAGGAGCAAGTGTGCCTTCCTCAGGGCCCTTCCTGAGAGCTCCACAGCCCACCCTGTGGCCCCTGCTTGGCCTGGCCTGCCCGGCCCCAGCCTTCCAATGCTGCTGCACGTCCTCATTTTCCTTTTTGGGCCCATCCTGCCCTCTCTGGCTGCTCTGCCTTTGGGCCTCAGCCCCAGCTGCCTGAGTTTGGGCAAGGTTCTTTCTCTGTGGCCTTCAGGCTCACCCCCAGGGCTCTGACCCGGGCCTCTCCCGCTGGCCCCACTCTACCTGACAGCTGCACCCCTGGTTTCAGCTTTTCTAACTGTGAAAGCCCCATCCAAGGCTAACATTCGAGAGGCATAGGGCTGCTAAGGGTTTCTTCTGTCCCTTTAGTCCCCAACGGCTCAGGCTCCTTCCTTGGAAGTTCCCTGGGGTAGGTGAGGCAGAGGCAGATCTCCGAGGAACTTGACTGACTAAGCAAGGAAGACCCTCTCTGAGTTTTCCTCCCAAGGTCTTAGGGTGGCTGGGCAGTCCCCACCCCCGCACACTGTCTCAGGGTCTCTACCCCCAACAAGATTAGATTCCTTTTAGCCAGAAAGAGTAGTGAGAGGCTGCCAATTGGGTACACCTGGGGCTTTCAGGGCTGGAGTGCCCAGAGCCTCCTGAGGTCAGAGTTCAGAGGTTAAGGTATGTCAGGGGATGGAAAAGGAGCAGATGACCCCATTTGACCTTTACCAGCGAGGTCTGAGGGTCCTGCCTTCAAGTGCAGAGCCCCCAACACATTCAGATGGGGCTGGACAGACACAAAACTACAGGGTTCCGCTGAGGGGCAGAGGCTGGAAAGGGCCACCCTCCCAGTCAGCCCTCATGGGAGCCATCTAGGGAAGATGCAATGCCGGGGCAGCAGGGAGGGAGGTGGTCAGGGTGAGGGAGGCCAGCCAGGGGACAAAGAGAAGCAAGGAGGCTGTGGGGAGGGGGCTCGGGACGGTGGGGGCAGCCCACCCACCACCACCTGCTGCCACTGGCCTTCAGAGGCCAAGTCCTTGTGGTAGGAGTGGGCGGGCCGGCGGTGGGCGTCAGACCTTGTCCAGCAGGGAACGCTGGCAGTAGAGCAGTCGCCTGGGGGTCCCATGGCGTCTGAAGAAGAAGACTGCAAGGCCCACCGCCAGCACCAGGAGCAGCAGCAGCACGGGCAGTACCACGGCAGCCGCGCTCACCGCCCCGCCGCCCTCCTCGTCCACCTCAATGATGATCACCTCCGTCTCCTCCTCAGTCCCCTCATCCGGCCGGCCTCCTGATGGGCAGCCCATCCAGTCCCGCAGGGCTGACTTGGGGTAGCCCGGTTCTACCTTCAGCTTCTGGTTGTTGAATTTCCAGTATTTGTTCCCCTTGTAGAAGTAAGTGAAGACTGCAGGGGGTGAATCAGAAGGTGGTAAGGAAGGGAAGACCCAAAGAGAGGAGAGGAGCGAGGGAAGCTCTGTTAATGTGAGGGCAGCTGAGTTCCCCTCCACCTTCCTGAGCATCAGCTTCCTCAGCTGTAAAATGGGGGTGCCGATAGGACCGGGTTGGAAGGTGGTGGGGATGAATGGGTACCACATGTGGAAGGACCTAGCCCAGCGCCTGGTGTGTGGTATTATCATCGCCATTGTTTCCCACACAGCACTCCCTCAGGCTTCCCTCCCACTCTTCCTCAACTCCCTATTCCCATCCTTCTCTCAGTGACACCTTCCCTTGCCCCTCTCACCTTCATCGCTGCCCATGAATGACCCTCTGGGAGACTCAGGGATCCCTTCCCAGACTTTGATGTTCTTGGGGTACTCGCTATCCACTGCCCTGAGCTCCTCGTTGAAACGGTAGTACCTGGGGAAGGGGAAAGGAAGGGCAGTGGCAGACACTGGGCATGTCCTCAGAGGGCAGCAAGACCCAGATCGAATCCACCAGTGGGCAAAGGATAGCTGCGGACAGGGTGGGGACAGGGGTTTTGAGTAATGAGGGCCTGCTGCTGAAAGCAGCGGAAGGTGGGGGTGGAAGGGAGGGTCCAGGCTGCAAGGAGCCACTAGCAGCCCTAATGACAGTGCCTGGCTGCTGGGGCGGAGGCACAGTGCTGGAGGCAGGAGGTGCCAAATGACCAGGTCTGAAATGACCCGGTCACATCCCACTCACACGGTGCCCAAAGGAGGCTGCCCATTTCTAGGCAACAGCAGAGGCTCAGCCAGCTCCTTCTCCAAGGAAGCATCTTGGGGGTAAAGTGCGTCTTTCTCCAGAACTGAGGGAATTTGGGGTGGTGGTGGTTTCTGAGGAAGGCCTGGGGCTAAGGGGTTGAGGTCTTACTTGTTTCCACGGAAGAAGTAGGTCTTTCCATTGGGCATCCAGAAGAGAGCAGCATCAATCTTGTCAGTAGGCAGCCCTCGGCCCAGCTCCTTAATGTGCTTGGGGTAGCCAGGTTCCAGGGACGCCTCATCAAACACCCAATGCTTGTCTCCTGGGGAGGACAGGAGGGCAGCATCTGGGTTCAACGTAGGCTCTAGGGACTTTAGAGGAAATCAGCTCCTCTAGGGAGACCTTCCTCACTCCCAAAGACTAAGGTGGAGTGCCTGGTTACCTTTGAAGAATACAAATTTGCCATCCTTCCTCTCATAGGCAGTGTTGATGGACGCAGGCAGGCCCCGCCAGAACTGGCCAATGGGCATTGGGTATCCATCCATCACTTGGTTGTTCCTCACCCGCCAGAACCAGCGCTCCTGGAAGTCAGTCAATGCAGGAAGAGTCCATTACGTCTTGCGGCCTAGATCTCTGGCTCAGTCCCCAAAGCTCCCCTACTGCTTTTTGTTCCTCAATTTTAGTTTTCAGGCCAGCTGTTGTCACTTCCACCCAGCTGCCCTACCACAGAGCCCCCCTCCTTTTCTTTTGAGATGGAGTCTCGCACTGTTGTCCAGGCTGGAGTGCAATGGCCCTATCTCGGCTCTCTGCAACCTCTGCCTCCCAGGTTCGCACGATTCTCCTGCCTTAGCCTCCCAAGTAGCTGGGATTACAGGCACCCACCACCACACTCAGCAAATTTTTTGTAGTTTTAGTAGAGATGGGGTTTCACTATGTTGACCAGCCTGGTCTCGAACTCCCGACTTCAGGAGATCCGCCTGCCTTGGCCTCTCAAAGTTCTAGGATTACAGGCATGAGCCACCACGCCCGGCCCATAGAACCCTTTTGTCTTCCAAACCAGCCCACCTCTTCTTCTCACCTTGAAGACAAACATCTCCCCTCGGAGCATGGCCACGGTGTCAAAGTTCCCATCACAGATGTTGGGTCCGTAGGTGGGGTTTTTGGGCTTATCAGGAACAGAAGGCCGGGAGGTAGTCCGGGGTTGAGGGGGCATCTTGGTGGGGAACCCTGACTCACTCCCTGGGGCAGAAAACACGAGGGGCATTTCAGACTTAGGAGGAGAGAGGGGAGGGAAGGACAGACAGATGGGCAGACAGTACCCTTGGAAAGGTGTGGATGGGCTTCTAGGGGAGGCTGAAGCAACCAACTGGGAGGCGACAGAAAAGGTGGGCTCCAAAGTGGAGCTGATAGAGGCAACGTCGGGTTGGCAGGAGGCGGTGCAGACACTGCACGGCATGAAACAGGGGAAATGCGTAGACCAGGAGGGGACAAGGAGCAGAGGAAGGAGCAGAGGAGGGAGCAGGCGTGGGTGTAGATTACTCACCATAAAGTTGCTGGATGCCCCGGCGGTCATCATCAGGCAGCACAAAGTTCTCTGTGTCCATCCACTGGTAAAATGGTGCCATGATGGCCGAGGGGTCACTGGAATGCTCGAGCCCCAGGGCATGGCCCAGCTCGTGCACAGCCACCAGGAAGATGTCATTTCCTGGAAGGATGGGGACAGTGATGATAGCAGCCTGAGTCCCTTCCCTCAGCCTCCCTGCTTCCCCACCAGCAGCTTTGGTTTCACCCCCAAGCCTGCTGCCCATGTTTTCAATCCAAAGTGACCAAATTCTGAGGTCCAGCTTTTTAATCTGGCATTTAAGCAAAGCTCCTCTGGGTGGAGGTGAGACAGTGCTTGGAAGCAGGACCCCCATCCCAGAAAGACCTGTGTTAAGGGAAGCCAAGGCCCTCTCTAGTCCCGTTTCTCCCAGGAGCTAGACATGACATCAATTTGGAAAAGTGGGTGATAAGGATGCTTTGAAGTCTTTGACTGGAAAGCCAGTCAGTGGGTGAGAGGAGGGACCAGATGTAAATAGCTCAAACAGGACTCCTGCTTTTGTCAGCAGTTAGACCAGAAGGTCTTTGTGGTCCCTTCTAGCCCCGAGATTTTGGAAGGAGGGAGGGGAATC